TCCCCGGTGCCGGCAGGGCTCTGCTGCCGGCTAGGCGGCCCCGCGGAGTCTTTTCCGGTTAGCGGAACCCCCCCGTGGGGTCGGACCCGGAGCGGGGAGCAGACCTCCCGTGCCTGGCTTTAGTCCCCAGTCTGTGTCCTCTCTCCCGTCCCGCTTCGGTGGGGGCGGAGTGGGAGCCCGGTGCCACCGGGCAGGGGCTGGTTGTCGGTGTGGGCCTCTCGGTGTGCCTGGCAGGGCGGGAGGCAGGCGGGCCCGGGGACAGGGACTCTGGGGTCTGAGTCCGCCTGTCTGGAGCCCCAGGCGGGGTTTTCTTCGTGAGCTCTTCGGAAGGAGGAGGAGGGGCCGGGTGAGAGAAATCGGAGGTTTTCGCTTAAATAAAGTACAAGTGGGAGGTCCTGAAAATGCTGGTTTAGGGGGTTTTGGGCAGGGATGGCTACTGCAAGCGTGTTCAGCAGTTTTCAGTTTTTGTTGATACTATTTTAATGTGTAGCACGTTCAGTTCTTCCAACACTGTGTAACTTGTTGCCACTTGAAGATTCCTCGGCAGTTGTCATTTCAGCTGTGCTCTTTCATCACACTTTTCAGGGAGCTTCTGTTTAACAAATCTTGTAAACCAGTCCTCTCACTTTTTAGCAAATGGTTATTTTTTTTTTAAAGCATCTAGTGTAAAATGCTGCAGATCCACTGACACTGGTGCTGTCCTTTGCGGATTCTACTTAATAGTTTGAATTACTCGTCCTGTGATACCAGGAGTAGGTGAGCTTAAATGGGCTTAAAGCAGTAAAACTGCAAACAACATATCTTGTAGGAATAACCAACTTGTCTGCAGCATTAAACCTTCTGCCCTTAGACAGGAGAGCATCTGTCATTTTAAACTTAATGGAAGAATGTGTTTCCTGGATATTTCAAGAAGAAAAAATTTGGTGCTGACTGGTGACTTCCCTGCTGTCATGCAGCTTTTTTCAGTATTGTAACAATCAGCTACTCACATGAGGGTAGCCTTAGTTAATGCTTTGAAGTAACTTTTTTTTTGGTGTAGTTTCAGTCCTCATTTGTTCCTTACAGTAGCTTTTGAGGAAGTGAAACACAATTGTAGCACTTACCCCAGGCTTTTCATCTACAAGTTCTGTTATTCAAAATTAAATGGCTAATTAGAATAGAGCTGCTTAATGTGCTTCCCTTTGTTTATTTCTAAAGTGATACTAAACACTTTATGTTTGATACAACTTGCAATTAGTGGTATTAATTACCTATAAAGCCCATGCTAAGTAAAGTAAAATAGTTTATTTCTCTTTCTAGTGCCAGATTGGCCTCTCTCTTTGGTCTGGATCAAACAGTCTCAAGCCATGGAAATGAATTCTTCCAGTACACTGCACCGAAGCAGCCTAAGAAGGGTCAAATGGCAACTGGTAAGTAACTGGACTTGAACGTGGGGAAAAACTTCACAGCATGTGCCTTGCTGGGACTATGAAGGTCTTTGAAGAACAGCAGTGAAAATAATTCACTTATTTTTCTTGAATGCTATGATCCTCTAGAGCCTCCCTATACCTGTTTACTCTGGTGGCCTTTGGTGACTTTGGAACATCACTCTTTGTTTTTTAGTCCTCTTCTGGAGTTATTTTTCCCTGGGGGGAGGGATGTGTTGTGGCATTGTCAGTGGCCAACGCGTATGGCAGTTCTGTATCGCTGACAGGTTTTATTCCTGCTTTTTATTCTCCAGCAGGTCAGGCAGCCCAGAAGGCTCCTGTGGCCCCCGCAGCTTCAGGAGCACCATCAGTGTTCGTGGCCACTGCAGTTCATGCTTATCGATAGTAAGTGCAGTGGTGGTTTCCTGCATGACCTGTTAGAGTCTGTGTCTCTGGGAGCTTAAGACCTAATCATTAGAGGGAAGATATTTTTGGATGAGTGGGAAGAGACTGTTGCTTATAGGCATGTGTCTGCATAGTAGAAAAGTACAAGTTGATTCAAGTTTCTGCTCAAAAAAACATTTCAGTTACTGTGCTGCAGTTCTGGGTTATGCAGTTGTCAAATAAATAGCAAGTTCTGGATTTGGCTGTTAGAGAGCTGCATCCTGGGGTGCTGGCCTGACATTTGCACTGTTAAAAGGCAAAAAACTTAGAACTCTGTCAGATGCTTATGTCTCATAAATTCCCTCATGGAGAATGAGTGACAGCAGTAAAATTCTCTGTCCATTTGACACTGCTGTCATGTGAAAACTCATTTGCCCTGGATTTGTGAAAAGAGCAGTTTTCAACTCAAAGCTCCATCATGTAATCTGTGGGCAAGCAATGAAGTTGTAATGTCTTTAAGCTAAGAAAGGCTGCATGATATTTTAGGCATGAGGAAAGGGACCTGAACTCTAAAGAAGAAAAACTCATTAACAGTAGAGAGAAATTTGAAGCAGGGATAGTTCTGCAGCTGAATATTTCGCTTGTCTTCCAGTACAAATGGGCAGTACTTGAAGCAAGGCAAGTATGGAGCAGCTGTAGTGGGGAACCATGCTACTAAAGAGGTGAGAAACACTTCACTTCTTTAACATTTTCATGCCAAGAGTGCACTGGTATGAGGCAGTGTTTCTCTGAGCTCACCAGAATGTCTTTGCTGTTGATGTTGGAGGTCTTGGTTCTGCTGCTGCTTGTGCCTTCCTGCTCTCCTGGCTCTTCCTACGGCTCAGCCATTTAACTTGGTGACATCTTTCCTCTCTGCAATCCATGAGTTTGTAAGATCTCTTACAACTTGTGACTGAAATATTTTGCAGTGTTTCAGGCACTGCACCTAGAAAATATTTATGGAAGTGATTTTGATACTTATTCAGAACATCTTTGACAACTGGATCACAATCTGTACATGTGAAAATCAATATAAAGCAAAATTTGTCTAGTAGTACCAAGATGCTTTGCTTAAGTTTTGTTGTTTGGTGTCAAATATCTCTTCTTCCCAAGTACTTCTCTAAGAATGCTGCACTGGAATGCCCAGTAGATTGGTATGTTTAAAAGATACTTTGGATAATCCTGTCTGTCCTTGATGTTGGTATTTATGGTGTTTCCTGTCCCCCAGTTCATGATGTCTTGCTAACTTGCTTCTGCTTTGGCAAGAACAACAAAAAAAAAAAGTAGTTTGGTAAACTAATTCCTGAGTCACTGATCTGAGAAGTGTTCAAGTGTGGCATTACTGGGGGAGCTGGGAAGGACAGGGCTAGCAGAAGAAAGCTAATGCAGTCTTTCTCAGGCTGCCTCTGTAGTATTGCAGCCTGCCCGCTGGGAACAGTTAGCAGATTACTTCCAGTTCACCACCTGGCTGTGCTGAGTGCAGGGACATAAAGGAAAGCTCTTTTCCTTAGTAGATGGTGTCTAGTAAAGCCAAATATGTCAATATCATGTTATATCTGTGTTTAGTGCTTGGAAAGCTCCCTCCAACTTACAATTACTCAGTCTGTTGCATTGTTTTATGCCTGTATGCCATGAATTGTGAGTTTTATGTATCGAAGGTTTAGTGCACCATCTTTTTATGCAGTAACTGCAAAATATGTGGAATTAGTTAAAGCATCTTGCTTATTGTAAAATAATTATTTCGAATTGACTGATTCCTTTAGCTAAATTAAGTTTACATATTTTAAAGAGGTTTTTAATAGGTGTTATAAAATTGCATTAAGTATTTTTACTGTGAAAAATGCTGCTACAAGGTGTATTTGACAAATAAATACTGTAATCTTAGGCTCAGAATTTGACAAAGCACACTAGAACTGAAGACATTTTGAGTTTTTGCTTTTTCTTCTTTTTCCCCTGCCCAATTCCTTGTGCAATCCAGTACAGGATCCTCCTTTACATCAGTCAGCAGCAACAGATCACAGCTGCAAGGATCCATCCAGGCTTCGTATTCACGGTAAGACTCTGGATTAGAAAAACATTCAGTGATCTGTATTGTTTACAGCGAGCAGAAGTTGACTGTGAACTGCTTTCTTAAGTCCTAGTTAATAGCCTTTGAGATCAGACATGTGACTGGCACAGCAAGAGGTGTCACAGTGACTGGGAGCACTGTTCTGCTTCTCCTAATGTGTGTTGCTCAAGAGACTTGGCAGCTGCCTTTTGCAGAGCACTTCATCAGTAGATTTCATAACACAAGTTTTTACACTGAGAGGTGTATTATTACCTCTAGATCACAGAGGAGTTGTTTGGAGTTTTGCAGCCCTACAATGGATAGAAACAAAACAAAATTCCTTTTGCTATTAATTTATAGTTAAGTGACTAAGAGAATACAGCTGAGCAAGCAGAAGGAAATGATAGCAAGGCAAGTTTTTTTTTCTCTGAAATTTGACACTCATCATTTTCTTGCTGCTGAGAACTATTTGGAGCATTGTAAGTCATAAAATGGGCTCTCTTAGGAAGTTCTGTTTTCTGCCAGTTTTACAGAACATTGGTGTATTGATTTGTTGCTTCTGGCTTGTCATCAGGTGACAAAAAATTTCTTATTTTGATAGATAGAAATTTTACCCTGAAACAGTAGAATCTCAGTCCAAATTTCTGACTAGGATACTAGCTTGCTCTTTAGTTTTATAAGTGCATGTTGAAAGAGTGGGTTATGTAGTCAGCTTGTGATGACGTGGACTTTTAGAAGTGAAAGAGTGACTCCTCAGTTGATTCTGGAAGTCTCCAGAAAGTAATTTACTTACACTTTAAAATCTCATAATATATACACTTTAAAATCTATTATATATACATATCATAGAACCTACCTTCAAAAAACCATGAAAACTTTCACCACCTTGTGAAAGCTGCAGCTTCTATGAAGAACTTAACAACTCAAATACTTGAGCAAATATTTAAGTTCTTCCATGAAAATGAGCACATAAATAAAAGATACTTTCTGCATTCTGAACTTGGGAAGTAATACAGCAGGATTCTTCCCCTGCCTCTGCTTAATTTCATTAGCTCTTATTTTATGATTTTTGGATGTGAATTTTTTTTGGTTTTAGCTGAATGCACATTTTAATGTATAACATAGGATTGATTTCCTTTCCCACAGGTTCAACCCAACAATTACAGTACGTTCTATGATGATCAGAGACAAAACTGGTCGATCATGTTTGAGTCAGAAAAGGCAGCCATGGATTTCAGTAAACAGGTAACTATTTTGTGCGAGGTATGACTTGTTGCCTTGTTTAAAACAACAGGCAAACCAAGATGTATCTCTCGGAGCAACTTATCGCTGAAAGGTTCTAAGTCAGTTGTATTTTTTCATTGAAGTTCAGCTTTGAGTATCTGCATGACCGTGAAGCAGGTCTGCAATGAGCCTGCCTGAGTTCTGTTCATTAGATACAAGCCTCTTTGAGGCAGGGAGCCTCTCAGTTCTGATGGGAATTTTGATCAGGATTCTCCAGTACAGTAACAGCAATGGTTCTGAAGAGCAGAGGGCATTTACTCAGCAAAATTCAGCTCAAGGAAACATAGAATGCACTTTGTAAGTGCATCTATATCAGTGTAATTAAAAGAATGCACTTTGTAAGTCCATCTGTAACCTGGGCTTGATCAGTACAGTAACAAGTGCATGAAATCTGTAATAAGTCATAGTGGAATTTGCTAGTCTGTTTTAACGGCCAGAGGCACTGATAGGCTTTCCTTCTGCAGGTGTGCATTGCCAAATGCAACAGCTCCCCAGTGCTCGATTCAGTGCTCTACCAGGATCTCCTCCTTGGAGAAGGGCAGGGAGTAGAAGGAGGAGACTCTCTGGAGATCGCCTATACGGGTTGGCTGTTCCAGAACAATGGGCTTGGACAGGTAAAGACATTTCTGCCACCTCCTAAATCTAAGTGAGTGTGACAGTTGTTGGAAGGAACCTGCCCTGTCTAACGTAGTATTGGTGCTGATGTTAAAGGTATTTTTTCAGTCATGGCACCATAAGTGAAGTTGTGTTACCTATAGAATAATAAGGGATTCCATTACTCTTCAGGAGGAGGTGATTGAAATACTTTTTAGCTTTCATTGGCACTCTCACACAGTAATATTAATGAAAATGGTGAGAAGTGACAGTGAAGGTAGCTGTGTTCCTTTGGAAACAGCTTGAGGAGGTGATAAGAAGGGCCTTGTCTGACACAAAGTGCATTTCCAAATACTAAAAGAATGAGCTCGCTTTTACATCCTCTACAGCTGTGTCCAATCCAGTTTACTAATAAAAGAAACTCTTTAATATTTCAATTCATTACCTTTAAAACACTTCTGCTGGTTTTACTGTTGGCAAAATTCATAACAAAGGGTTTTGCATTTGCACCCACCTGCAGTTGACTCTTTGCTGTAAAACAACTTTTTGGGTTTTGTTGATCTGCCTGCCATGCTTCTCTCTGTGTACCAATGGGACATAGCAGAGCTTATTTCTAATCTCCTGAAAGAGTTGTTCAGCTGCATATGTCTTAGTTTAATATACAAAACTTCTAGACAGTTGTTTGCTGCTCAGTATAAATCTGTCATGTAGTGTTTTACTTTGCTCAATCCTGTCCTTACTATCAAGCTCAGAGCAGTTTTAAGGTCTGAGTCTCCAGCTACCATTCACTTTAAGAAGCTGTACTGTGCAGTGGACTAGAAGCTGTAGACATGCTCTGTCTTATGTCTGTTGAGAATTAATTTTGGAAGTAGCAGTATCACATAAGAGACTGTAGGAGTTTAAGGAATGTGTAAAGTAGCATTCAGAATCTTGAAACAGTTGGGAAATCCATGTATTTTGTGTTTGTTCAACTCTCCAGGTGTTTGATTCAAATGTTAACAAAGACAAGCTGCTGCGGCTGAAGCTGGGATCTGGAAAGGTCATCAAGGTAGAACTTCTGGCACTTTCATTATAATAACTGAAGTCTTAGAGCTTTAAATTACTGAAAATCTTGTGTCATGTTTCATTTGATAGGAAACACTCTGTAACAGTGACTCATACTTTTTTTATTCGTAATGGGCACAGTATAGCCCAGTGTCCTTTTCAATGGCAGTGTTAGAAAGAAGTTGTCCTGTTTGGTAAAAAGGAAGCTTCCCGTCTTCAAGAACTGGGTTTTTCAGGGTGCTGGTTTTGTTTTGTTTTTCTGGAAGTCACTTAATCTATGACCCTGTTCTCTAGAAACCCTATTTTTGAAGGAGGATTTCAATGTGAGAAGTTCAGATTCCTCCCCACTCATTGTGCTTCAGAAGCAGAGCATCAGATAGCTCTGATGCAACACCTGGGAGAAGGGCATGGGAGGGTGAGGACAACTGTCAAGTTTTAGGATGATCTAGTAAAAAATAGTACTACTGCCTAGAGTGGATTTACCCTCTTAAGTCAAATCATGAGGTTTTTGGCTGCTTAATAATTTTTCCATCCAGGTTATATGATACTCCCTTATATTATTCCATAAAATCTGGTTGTGAATCAGAGATGCTCTTGTTCAAGCCACTTCCATTATCTAAGTAATTCATGTATGGCCCATTACAAGTTATCCTTTATTGAAAATTTATTTTCTACTTTATTTTAATGTCTATCTTCTTATTAATGTTGCCTCCTGTAAAAGGCCAGCATCCATTTGACAGTTTGCATTGTTCTAACTTCACTAGAACTGTGTTCTGTGGGTGCTTTGTAAATCTAACCACAGCGATTTGGAAGTGATCTCTCAGTGACGTGGGGTCCTGCTCTTTCCCTGAATGCTGAGAGGGGTCACCACTGTGTGCCCTGCAAGCCACCTGCAACTGCAGAATTTGTGCACACAGCACAGCATGCAGTTCTTTTCTCCTGTGATAGCTGCTTAAGTTACAGTATTTAAAAATTGAAACAGATTTCTGGAACCATACAGAGACCTGGAAGCCTCCAGCCCTCGTGCTAGCGATTGCTGTATCCAATTGCATTATGAACATGTTGGGAGGTGTGTCTTTATTCTTAAGTTAATTTTGCCATTTATAACTGGCCGCTACGATTCATTGTAAGACAAAGGTTTCGTGCTGCAGACTGAAAATAAATAGGATTTTACAAGAATCTATCTGTATGTTTTGGAATCTTCTATAACTGGTGCCTGAAGGTGTCTTAATCAGTGTAACTAAAAGAAATTGTAATGTCACTGATCAAACTGTTTCTTTTCTCTTTTGTTGTGTCTCTGAAAACCACAGGGCTGGGAAGAAGGAATGATGGGGATGAAGAAGGGAGGGCGAAGGTATCTCATCATTCCTCCAGCATGGGCCTACGGGGCTCAGGGAGTGGCTGGCCGTGTCCCTCCAGACTCTACTTTAGTTTTTGAAGTGGAAGTTAGGCGGGTGAGTGTCTCCTGCCAAGCGTTTGTTTTGCATCTGTTTTGTGGCTGTTGGGTGGCAGTGTCTGTCTGCAAGGTGAAAACCTGCTGGCATAAGAACTACAGCTCAGAAACTGTTGTAAACCAAATACCTCAGGAAGATACATATCTTTAATTTACAAAAAAAAACCCCAACAACATAAAACCAAAATCCTAAACCCCCAAATCCCCTTAGGCTGTTTACTGAGCTATGTCTGTTCTAACTGTCTTGGGATCTTTTCATTGTCTTATTTGTGAATCACTTGGGAAAAGAAAATACTCAGTGAGGAATGACAGGATGTAAAGACTCAGCTTCTCCATTTGTGAATCAGTTGTATGCTTTTATTTGAGGTGCATGATCTTGACAAAGGAGTAGTCATCAGAAATAAAGAAGTTGCTGAAAACTCTTTTTGGAATCCAGGAAAACATCTGTTTTTCTTACATGCTTTTTAAGGTGAAGTTGGTAAAGGAATGCTCTGGTTCAGATGGACAGAGTGTTAGTTCAAGGGATTCTCCTGCACCTTCTCCAGTACCCAATGCAGATGGCTTCTCTGCAGACACTGGTTTATTGCCTCCATCTACAATACCTCCAAAGCCTGGGTAAGAAGTAGCACAGCTAAAACAGCTTGGTGTATTAAAAGATGGCGACACTCATAAACATGTGACACAATGCTGCATTAACACATCGTGTGGTAAACATGGGTCCTCTGTGTGCCAGCTGAGTGCTGTCAGTGGCAGGGGAATGCTTCCTACCAAGAGTTGCAGATCTTCTGCTTGAATGCTGACTTTCGGATTTAAAGAAATTGATGTGGGCACAAATGAAAGAAGTAATTCCTCTGTAGCATTACTGAGATCTAGTGTGATTAAGCTGTATGGGCACTTCTCATCTCAGGTGGCAGTATAGTCATAAGTTGGTCTTGCGTCATGGCTGATTTGTTTAATTGCAAACTTTACATTGTCATTTGTTTCTTAATTTAACTAAATGGGTCAGTCACCCTTTTTAGGGAGTTGAAGTTTAAGTGCTCTTTTTGTTGCCAGATGTAGTTTGTTACTGGAGGTGGTTAAAATTGTTTGCAGCAGAATGTGGTCATTACAGCAGTCAACAAAAATCATCTTTCTGTAATCAGCTGTTCCGCAACCAACTTGCCCATAATGATGTTTGGAAATTTACAGATAAAGAATCTTACAAAAGTAAGCTAAAAGAATGCTTGTGATACATCTCCCCTAGGAAAGCCATTTTCTTGTATTTGACAGTATTTTAAAATGCAGAATATTGGATCTTGAATTTCATTTTTTGTTAATCACTGATATCAGTATACACCTGTTTGGATTTTCAGGGAGCCAGCTGTTCGGGCCAAGTCAAACTCCATCAGTGAACAGCTAGCAGTAAGTGGTGGTGTTTTTTCCTACCTAATTTGAAGCCTTCAGTAGGGAAGCTTGGTTGGTTTCACCTTTGCATTTGGTTATTGCTGCAGATAAAGTGAATGTCATGCAAGCAAGACACTCTTAAATGTTCACCTTACTAACAGCAGAGTAGGGCCTTGTTTCTGACGGGATTAGCAGAACACAAGGAACCTCAGTCCCAGTTCCTGCTCTTCAATACAAAATTACCTTGACCTTGTGAATACTCACAAGGCTAGTTGTTGTCTTGGATAAATGGACAAACTTTAAATGGATAACAAAGAGTAATTGGGACATTCAGTATAAGTTTACCTACATGAGAAGACTTTTTGCATGTGCCTCAGAGTAGAAAAAGCTGCTAAGCAGATTCTTTAACACATATTCTTCTTGTTGCTGTGCTTTGTGCAGGAATAGATTTTTCTATGTAGTGACAGCAATGTCATCCCAGAAGGAGAGTATATCAAGCAAGCCAGATTAACAAATCCACGGTGTCGTCTTGTGTGCTTGAAAAACAGTTTTTCCCACAGTTGTTGAAAAATTGAAATAACCAGAATTAAGTCAGTGGTTTAGAAGTCTAATCCTAACAGATGTCTCTGTAATATCTGAAAAGCCTGGGCTGAGAGACAAAGGAAGAGTAACTGCAAACATTTGTTTTAGAATCCAGATGTAGCAAAGGCAAAGCTAATTTCTCGGATGGCTAAAATGGGACAGCCCATGCTGCCTTTCCTTGCTGGGACAGCAGGTGGTCAACTTGACTCCAGTGACTCGGAAATAGAGGTACATCACCCATCAATCACATCAATGTGATCTATTTTTTTTTTTTTTGGATGCTTTTTCTATAGTGTGAATTACTTAAAGTGGAGTCCATAGCAATAGCTCTCCCTTTGTACAGGGAAAGCATACTCTGTGGCAAAAGGATTTAACAATTCCACTGTTCCTCTCTGGTTCAATTGGGTTCATACCTAGTCTGAAGTGATCTTGGGTTCAGTCTGTTTGCTCATTCTTTAGCAATCCTTGTAATATGCAGAAATGTTTTTAGGATCCAAATACACTGAGAGGGACAGCGCAGCCAGTGGCTTCATCCTCAGTGAGACCATCACAGCCAGCTCATGCTGTACTGCCCACAGTGTCCACACAAGGTAATATGCTGGTGAGCCTGGGCTTGCTATGGAAAAAGTTCACTTATTTGCAGGTTTCAAGTACAAGGGCTGTACCAATAGAGGATTCCCTTCAGGAACTGAAATAGGAGCTGATAGATAGCTTCTAATAAGGATTGCTGATCCAAAGCTGCATAGATAGACTAATTCATCAAGCACAAGACTGAAGACCTTGGAGTATGTCTTTGTGAGCTTGTGCACACATTACTTACCACAGTGCATGAGCTGGTCTGTCATTGTGTGTGCTGGGTGGCTTTTGAGTTTTCTAGGACATGTGATTTGTAATTGCAACTGTTACAGATCCTTTCGCAGTGCACAAAAATTTTTTTGTTTGGAAACGATGGAAGTAAGAGTGACGGGCGTCAGGTCTGGCAGCTCTGGAGTGGGCTTGACTTGTCTTCTCATGATGGAATACTAGTGTCATATGCTGGTCAGCTGAGTAGTCTTTAGAGTCAGTCTGAATAACATCTTGTGTCAGTAAACTTCAGAGCTACCTTTGTTTGGATGAAAAGAGGTTGTCTCAATGTAGCTAGAAGTGGAATTTTTGCAAAGGATTACTCTTTTCTTGACCTTTTATCACTTGCTTGACTGGATTTAATTTTCAAAAGACTGCAGACAGGCTTAGGTTAATTTTTGTCTATTTAGTGACTTTTTTTGGCTATTTCACACTGGACAAGTTAAATTATTTCTAGCTACTTTATGGCATGCTGAATTTCTTTCTTCCTTTTCAGTACCTCAAGGCTCTGGTTCTACACCCCCAGTATCTTCTGCTGCTTTAATACCTGCAACGATCCAACCCCATTCAGCTCTGCCTGGAGGAGCACAGGGCTTTCAGGTACTAAAATGAAATCAAGGACAATATTGGCACTTCTGTCCTTTCTCATAAGTCTTCCTGTCTTGTCTGTTGCTGGGAGCAAGGACTTTGTAGCAGCATGTAAGGATGAGAGTCCCAGGCTGTTTCCTGTGACTCTCCTTTGGCATTTTCAGGTTTCCATCACGTGCCTCTTAGAATGTAACCAAAAATGGCTAATTTTCTGTTTGCTGGGGGCTTCTTAAAGTTGAACTAAGAGTTAACCAGACTTGAATATCTGCTTTTCTAATGGATAAAATAGAAACTTCCATCTAGAGCAGGTGAAAACGGAAGCATTTTAGATTGAAATTTTTCTTGCTGATGATCTGTTTTTTTTGTGAGAGCTCATTTGCACACTTAATGTGTTTGTGGGTTATGGGTTTTCATCCAGCAAAAGAAAAATCCTTTTAACAGGCTTGTGGTGCTGCTGGTGTAAAGTGATGCAAGGTGCTTGCTAACAAGGGAACTTTGGGGGCTAAGCACACAATGTATTTTCCACATCAGATAGCAAAGACTTAGTACAAAGCTATTGTACAAACACTTCTGTAAAGTCTAAACCCAAGCTTTTTACTGTCTGCTTTCTGTAGTTATTTTCACTTAACCTGTTTTCTGGAGCTTTTGGAAATCCGTGGCCTATGTCACATAGGCGCACTGTTTATTTTTAAAGCATTCAGGCAGAGGAAGAAAACATGATAATGAATAATAACACTATATTAAAAAAAGGCAAAAAAACCCCAAGCCACAAAACAAAAAAAATGCAAAAACAAAACCTCACTAAACATACACACACCCCCCCCCCTCAAAAAAAAAAAACCCAAAACACTAAAACTGTTGTGGCACTACTTTCCTTTGGCTTTGCATCTCCCTGGTGTTGAAGATAAGGAAGGTGTGGCAAGTAATAAGATAGACTTTGCTGTTTGTTGAAATAGAAACTAGTCATTTAAAGTGTTTTAATCTGACAGTGATTTGGATATATTGTTTTGAAAATTTAACTCCGATGTCTTGGATTCTTCTAGAAACTTGGCCCAAGTTGTATTGTACTTTTTCTTTTTTTCCTTGCCCGAGAGAGTAAATTGGTACGAGTGGGATACTTGTAGCATTGATGTGTTCTTCAGTCTGTTTAGCTCCTGATGAGCACTGAGCAGTAAAGTTGCAATCCACTTGTGTTTCACTTCTTGAGCCCTTCCTAGGAATAGCCATGTGTTCAAGTTAGCATATAACTTCAGAGTGAGCTGTTCACATGCTGATCTTTGCCTCTCACAAACATAGGATAACATGATTTTGCTTGAACTTCAGTGAAGAAGGTAACTTATTAAGCTGTGGTAACTTGAACACATAGCTAGGCCTTGAAAGAAGAATGACTGTTATTTTCCCTTTACTGTGACTGTTGTGTAATTTGACTGCCAGTTCCTTAATTCTAGTTTTTTCTTTCCAAATATCATCTTTGTTCTGGGGCTTAAAAAAATGTGAAAACCACTTAAATGTGAGGAGAGGGGGAAATAAAAAAGCATATTCTAATCTATTGAACTTGGTCTGCCAGGCATATCCAGGAATGGCATTTGCTTACCCCCAAACTGCTGCGTCTGCTTCTCAACTCCAGCCTGTAGGACAGATGTATCCCACTCCTTACCAAGGTATGTTTAAAAAAGTACATGCTTTTCAGAAGGCTGCAATACCTGCAGTAAACTGTTTATTTTAGGTAGCAATGGTAGCATACATATTCATCCTGTCTGTAGTGCCGTGCTGTTTCACAAAATCTTATTTTTTTAATACCAAATAGGGGCAAGCATTTACCAGTAAATACCCATCTGTTTTCTTACCTTAAGGAACTTCATGCGGTGTGAAAGGCGATGGAATTTCTAGGTGTATTCTTAAGACTCACTCTGTATTACTAAAGGTATTTTATAGCTGGTGCTTCCAGTTATAAATATAACTGTAATATTAAACAGCTATTCTACTGGGCATGAAAAGAATTTAAGTGTACATACATAGGCCTTTACTAAGTGAGAGGACCCAGCTCCCCCCAAAAAGGTGCAACCTAGGAGTGACTAAAGGCATTTAAAGAACTGCTTAGGTAATCCCTGTTGGTGAAGACTGCAGTATAGCTGAACCTTTCTTGGAGCACGTTTTTTTTCAGTTCAGAGCTTCAGAAGCCAGTCTTCATCCCTCTTGTTTGATTGTACCTCTTTGTGTACCACTGTTCTGTGTGTCTGGGGGATTCTGTCTTGTTGACCCAAGTGCTGTCACATGGCTCAAGAATTTCCTGTAGTCATAAACCTGCCTATTCGTGTTATTTGGAAAATACCTACATTATTAGTTTTCCAGATGCCATGTCCCTTTTATTTCTGGAAAGAGAGTGGCTGTCGTATCTGGCAGGCTTCAAACTGCTAAGCATTGCTTTTGATATGTTTGTATATAGGCATTTCCCCCTGTGACTATAGATCTCTCTCATTTCCGTTCAAGCACCTGGGGATGTTACTTCCTTTTTGATGACAGAAGCTCGGCAGCATAACACTGAAATCCGACTGGCTGTTAGCAAAGTAGTAGATAAAATGGATCATCTGGCTGCCAAGGTAACGTATGGCATAGGCAGGCTTGTTGATGAAGCTACTGCTATTCGCTCTCCAAATGCAGTCTGAGGAGTTGGCTCTATTTAAATGCCTGCATTAAGTTTGTCAGTGATGGAAATGCCAGTATTGTCAGACCTTGAAGTGGCAGCAATTCAGCTACTATGAACAAGTAGTCTAGACCTGGGGGGAAGTGCTGTCTCTTGCAGTCTTAAATATCACATGATGCGTTGTGTTTGGAGAGACTGGCTGCCCTTCAGGAGATGTCACAGTTGATACAGTAGTGTACACCCTACCGCTGATCAGATGGAACAGTCAAATGGATCTTTACAGATGTCTGACTCTTCCCTATACCCATAAATTTATTTCATCTGGTTTAAGAATGTCTTATTCCTATAGGTGGAAGAGTTGAAGAAACAAAACGCTGGTAACAGCTCACTACTGCCTGGTATCTCTTCTGTTACTATGGAAGCCTCCATGATCATGAGCAATATCCAACGCATAATCCAGGTGAGCCTGGCCAGCCTTATTGTGCTACTTCTGTAAGGAACTGGAGCCCACTGCGTGATTCCTCGTGAGAGCTGTACTAGCTTGGCCCAAATACCCATCCACCCATGCGTTCTATTTTTGAGTAGCCAAAACCAGCTGCTTAGGTAAGAGCATGATACACAGTGATTTCCATCCCTCTGCCACTGCAAAAAGCCCTTCTCAACAGAACATGTTTTGGGTGCTTTCTGACACAGAGCTGATAAGTTCATGCCAGAGAAATCCAGCCTCTTAAACCATTACAGACTTAACCCGCAGCATCCTGCAGAACTGAGTTTCACAGCTGAAGTACCCTGTTGCATGAACTACCTACTTCTGTTTTTCACTACTTAGTCTTATGCTTTGTAGTTTTTCTAGGCAGCAGCCTTACAATCTTGGGTTTCATGGGTGAAAAAATCAACCAGACACAATATTCTCTAGAATGGGGTTTGACAACCACTGTCCCGTGCCAGGATTGCTGCTGAAGGTAGCACAGTGCCTTCCTGTGATGTTACCACAGAACATAAGTTTTACCACTGTACTGTATCTGTAGAAAACAAAGGTTGAGGTGCTGCTGCAAGGAAGTCCAGGTAAAGTGAATATTCATGCTGTGCTATGCTTTAGGAGAATGAGAGACTGAAGCAAGAGATATTTGAGAAGAGCAGTCGGATTGAGGAGCAGAATGAGAAGATCAGCGAGTTGATTGAGAGAAATCAGAGGTAAGGAGTGGGAGGGTACAGCCTCTGCATTTGCAAAGACTTATTAGGTTAGGCATAACTAGGAGGGGGGGTTTTTAGGGTAGAGACATATTCTGATGGTTATAATTGGAGGGTTTTAAGGCATTTAAAGTGTGGGTGTTTGCACACACCCCCACAGGGCACATCTCCAAAACAGTGGTTTACAATAAACATGAATGTGTAAAAGGGGAAAAAAACCCTCATGCTATCTTTTTTGAGTATGCTTGCTGCTCTGCTTCTGGGAGTTACTTTACTTTTGCTAGCTTTTGTAGTAAGGTGGAAGAAATTGTAGGGGATGTGGTGTCCCCAGTTTCACTGTTGGGTGTGTGTTCCATTCAGTTTTGAGAAGGGGAATAACTTGTTTAAGGAAGTGGCAAAGATCAGTGGTATCAGGTTATCAAAACTCTTGACTATGTGATGGGAACATTAGATGTGTTGCAGAGGGGTAAAGCCCTTATCCAAGCTGATATCTCTGTTGTGCCAGGCACACCCATTCCACCTTTATGAGATCAGGCTCCTTTTAGTGCAGAATTGTCTGGGGCTTATGAAGAAAACTGCTTTGAAATACACCTTTTCTATCTGAGCCTTTTGCTCCGGGTCCGTGTCTTTATGCAAACACTCATGCAGTCTTCCCCTGTTCACAGATACGTCGAACAAAGTAATTTGCTAATGGAGCAGAGGAACCATTCACTACAAACAACAAATGAAAACACACAGGCAAGAGTGTTGCATGCAGAACAGGAGAAGGTAATGGTGACGATGAGCAGAGCCATAGAGCTCTGGCTGCAGCCAGGAAAGGGGCTGGTTCTTGCACTAAAACATGCTGAAGCCTTGTTAGTCAAGGCTTAAGTCAGTCTTGTATGAGACAACTGTAGTTCTGACCTTATGTTTTGAAAGCTTTTTTGAGAAAAAAATTTGAATATCATTTTCATGGCTTTCATGACAAAAGCAGCACAGAGGATATAAATGTAGATCTTTATGCTGTCATGGCTTTAATATTTTTATCTTACAGGAAAGTGTCTGATTTATTGTTAACTTTGTAGGTATATAGCCAAGATGTTGGGAAACTGTGTCTATCACAGGGCTTTGTTGGGTTGGAAATGTACTTATTTAGTTGCACTGATGGTTTCAGTGGTTTTATTCCTTCTGTTTAACTGATAAAGAGTGGATATAGCTGTAAGAAAAAAAATATTTCCTACTAGAGTTTCTTCATTGCACTTTTTTTAATACTAATCAAAAGCTGTGTTTCTGTTGTGCTTTTGTGAAAGGGGGTGCTGAGAAATAGCTTTCAAACCAGTTAAATGCACTTATGCATGGCTGCATATCCTGTAATGTCCACTTACAACAGCCTAGCCCAGGTAGACTAGCTTTGAGATCTGTCTCATGGTGTCTTCTATGCTTTCTCAAGCACTGGCTTCTTAAATTACACCAACTTCAGTCCTGCACTATGTTTCCCTGCTGGGTTTTGTATCTCTCCAGTTCAAATGTGAGATGATAAATGCTTACTCTGCATGAGGACCATAACTCAGCACACCTAAAAATAACAGAAACTGCAGCTTCCCAAAGTATGCTAGCAAGTATGCTAAAATATAGAACAATATATGGCTGATAATTAAATGCTGGTGTGAGCAGTGAGGACTGCATTTTTCCACTGAGAGCCCAGGTCATGTACCTGTAATACATAGGGAGTGTGCGAGATTCTAACCGAGAGTAAGTCAGATCAAAATAATAAATAAAATTCCCTCCTGTCAGTAAGCACAACATCCAGTTTGCATGATAAGTAACTTGGGGAGGAAGCATCTTTTGGAAGTGTAAGATAATGATCTTCAGGAATCTTTTGGGCCTCATCTTCAATAGGACTCCACTTGATTCACAGTCACTGCCTAGGTTATAACACTATTACATGAACAGACGTCAGGCTAGACCAGAAAAGACTTGCACTGGGAGATGATTTCCCCTAGTTCTGTGAGTCTTGACTGTAAATATGAAGGCTGGTATTCCTTCCTCTTCCTTTTATCTAACCTTGCTCTGTGACTGCAATTGCCAAGATCACTATGGACAGACAGAATCAGGGAAGAGAATTTTAAGATATTTTCTCTATTCTTTACTTAAAAATAGGGACGCACAATTTATTTTGTGATGCAGGCCAGGCATCTGTACCCAGGATCACTGAGAAGAGCTATTAGGAGCTTGCTGCTTTGGGGTTTTAGATCTTCAACCCTGGCAAAGTCCATCACAGCTTTAGCTGAAGGCTTCATGTACTGTAAGGATAAACAATACACTGCACTCTGCAGTGCAGTGAAACAGTAGGGCCACTCCTACATCTGTGGGGTGTGTGTATCTGTAAGGATGACTTTTAGCTTCTTTCTTTTTAAGCCAGACTTCACTAGCTTTTTCTGTCTAAGCTTTTACAGTTCTATGAATAATTTAAAGGCTTCTCTGGCATGCCTTAGGCTCCTGTAATGAAGCATTTTGCTTTTCTGATGATGATTAATGCCTCTGACTTTTAAGTTGTGTTCTTAACTCTTCCTGTTTCCTGTCACTGCTTTCTCTTCCTAGCACATGCTGCCAGTGGATCGGGGCTGGGACCAGGTGAGGCAGTGTGTCTGCTGACTGTGTAGGTGATAGATAATTGTGCCCTAGTGCCAGCCCAGCTTCCTCTTGAACTAGCTAGAAGTTGATTGGCATGAAAAGAATTGCCTCAGATCTTTAATTAGCATGGATCTTCAACTTGGAAAAGGGCTTTATAACTGGCCCCCTCTTTCTTGGGGAGCCCTTTGAAAGAACTTTGTCACATTGCTGCTCGTTTCACCTCCCCCACGGGAGAAATAGGTCGTGATCATATAGTTGTCAGAGCAGGTACAGATCACACAAGACTCTTGGTACCTGAAAGCTGGAGGCTGGAGCTGAGCTAGTTTAGATATGAAGCATTCACTGCAGAAACTTAAATTTAGTAAGTTCCTGGCATAGGATTTTCTTTTGGTTTTTCTTTATTTGATATTAAAGACAAAGTCCAGTGTTAAAATAACCTTTAGATATGCCATGGGGTTTTGTGGTGGCTTTAGCATACTAGGAGTTAGTATCTTGAACTGCAATGAGACATTTATAGAAACATAGGAGGAAAGCAGATCTGGTTTTAGCCAGTCTCTGTTGAAATGCTGCCTCCTCTTTAAAATTAATGGTGTACTATCCCAGCCAGTATCATCCTCACTATAGCTGGAACAATTTTGCTCACAGCTCTTCTCTGCCAGAAGGTGGTGGCCCTAGTCTGAAGGGAAATGCTTTACCTCCTCTTATGGTGATAAAGCAGAGAGAAACGTAAGTTCTCCTGAATTTACCAGTTACAGGAACATGAAACCCTGTTGGGAATCTGAATGTAGGCATAGGTATCGAAGCTGTTTAGGTATTCCCTGCAGCAGGTGAGGTTTTCTGACAGGTGTAGTTCTGTCTTTGCAGAGCATCCTCTGAATTTTGTTTCATGTAACAAGATTGGGAATGTGACTTTGTGTCTTTGTCTTGATGCCTTGAGCTGCTCCTAACATACTGTTTACAAGTTGTCTAACAAGCTGTATTAGTACCTGGTTCTACGTGAGTCACTGATTTTGAGCAATACTAAATCTAAACAGGTTAACAAATTACTGTGAGAATTATGCTCCAAAATGACAGCCTTGCCTGTGTGGGCACCTTGAGGTGGCTGCGTGCTGTGTGCTCTGGAGGGAAGGTGCTCTTTTGGCTGAACAAGCCTGTTTTGTGTGGCTTTTCAGTAATTTGTAAGCTTATTGAAGATAATTAGATGTTGGAGTCCAGGCTTTTACTTGAGTAGATGTTGTCGTAGCCTGAAAACTCTGAGTAGAGTCACCAGGCACTGGTACTAGTCTTAAAAACACATTTAAGATTTTCAGGAAAACTCACTGAGTTGGACTAATGTGATGATGAGGTGGTTGGTGGCCTTGTGCAACTTTCTAGTCAGCCTGGACAGGTTACAGCCAAACAGCTTAAAGTAACATGGCAAAAAAGGTACTGTTACCTCTTCAATTGGAGATGTCTGTGAGGTGCTGGACCCCAGCAATTCCCCGATAAGGTCTTAGTACCTTATCAGTTCTTCCTGTGAGAACAGTTCTGGTGCCTCCTCGCACTCACACATTGTTTTTTTCTCTCCCTTTCCCTGCTCCGTTTTGTGGTACAGGCCAAAGTTGCAGAGGAGTTAGCAGCTGCCACAGCACAGGTTTCCCAGCTGCAGCTGGAGCTGACTGCCCACCAGAAGAAGGAAATGGACCTGAGGAAACAGCTGTCTGCTGCCTTGCAGGAGGCAGAGAGACATGAGACACAACTCAACAAACTGCAAGCACAGCTAGAAGGTAAAACTTCTTATGCCTGTCCCAGGAGAGCTCCTTCCTGTCGTTTTCCTCTAAGTCATAGGTTTTTCCTTTCCTTGGGGGTATCTATTCCTGTTTTCCCTAGGATCAGTCACAAGGGTATCAAAGAAGGATATTAATGCACTGAAATGACTGAAGGGTGTGTGTGTCCTTGTTGCCACTAAAAGGGAAGTGGGCCAAATCCATGAACAAAATCATCCTGTCACAGAGATGCCTTTTGTAGAAGCAATCTCTTGGCATTAGTGTCTAACATCTTGTGGAGGAACCAGAGATGTTCCAATGGTTGAAAAGTTAAGATAAAAGCTGAGATATAAGCACTGCCATTTCACAGAAGCTCTTGATAAATTCTAGTTCCCACTGCAGGTTCAAGACATGGTTTTGGTCTCGTTGTGCAAGAGACACTGTTCCTTCCCATCAGCCCCTAAATGCTCTAACCTAAAATATAAGTAGTGCTGAAACCCACAGTAAAGCGTATTTTTGCAGAGCTCCAGGAAGCCTCTGAGGACACTCAGACTAGATTCAAAGCTGAGAAGCAGAGCCGCAAACAGCTGGACATGAAGGTTACAGCACTCGAAGAAGAGCTAACAGACCTGAAGGTGGAAAAGGAGACTCTTGAAAGGGTATGTCCAGCGCCAGCATTAGAGAGAGATGCAGGCTTTCAGTGTCTGCTGAAATTTAGCCCAACATTCTTGCTTGAAAGTGTGCAAGTTGGGTAAACCTTGAGTCATCCGCAGGCAAGATTCCTGTGCTGGTGGATCCTTTGTGCTTATGGGATTGATTGATTTATTTAATATCCTAGCCAGTAATGTGTTAACCTTCCTACCTCTAAAATAATCTCAACTTGATTTTAAAGTGGTAAGATTCCCTGCTCAAAGAAACTTTCTGCATGAAGAAGAGAAGCTACCTTGGTGCAGCTTGTTCTAGGTCCTGTTCTGTATTGTAGAATCTTGCAGAGAGGAAGAAGAAATCCCTCTCAGAGAGAGCTCAGGCAGAGGAAGAGATGGAAGAAATACGCAGATCATATCAGCAGGAACTGGACAAGCTTCGACAGTTGCTGAAGAAGGCACGGACTTCGACTGACCAGGCAGCAGCAGAGCAGGTGAGGAGTCATGGGAGCTTCTCCAACAAGTATCTGGAAGGCTTGTAGGGACCTACAGGTAGGAAATAGTTGTGAAAAGCGCTCAAGTAGTGGATGAATGAAAATGTTATGTGCTTGATTTTAGGGGTTATTTTAAACACAGGATTCATTTTACTGTCTTTCTAAAATATCTTGGTGTTTGCTGGCCCTGCTTCTGACTTTGGGATTGACACTGATGTCTCTAAGGAAGTGCATGATTTGAGTAGGAAGGAAAGCTGCTGGGTCCCAGCCTTTCCCTGATTCAAACCACAGGCCACTGACGTGGCTGCAGAGTGTTGGCGCAGCATTGATGCAGACTGGCACGCAGCGTCACGTTCAGGCTGTGTCAAACTGAGGAGAGGAGAGGCACCAAATTGAGTTCACGGTAGAGAGAAGAATACAGGACTGCTGATGAGTGAAAGGCTGCTTAGGAATATGCCAAGAGATCTGAAATTGGAGCCAGGCCTGAGGGACTGTGGCTGGAATTGAGCTCTGAGAGGTGTGGGCAGGAGCTGGTGACAGTGGCAGAGCTGCCATCTGCATGTAGGATTCCAGCCTATGGCAAGAGATGTTGTCCAGCCCCGAGCTTTCAGCCACTTGTTGTGCAAATACAGATTGTGTGTGTTACTAATGATCTCTTACATGATGGGCAGCTGTCACTCATCCAGGCAGAGCTGGAATCCCAGTGGGAAGCCAAATGTGAACGTTCGCTGGCCTCAGCCAAGGAGCAGCATGTTAGACAGTACCAGGAGGTGTGTGAGCAGAGAGATTCCCTGCAGCAGCAGGTGTCCCAGCTGGAAGAGAAGGTAAAGGGCTGTTTTCTTTTGCTGAAATGTAGTGCCAGATAAGTAGTAACACTAACCAGGAGTCCTCTCCCACATAATTATGGCTTGACTTTTTAATTTCTTGACTGCTAAGGAATTTGGCCTTGTCCACCGGATGTGTCTGTGCTTGTATCTCTTACGTTGGGTTGGTGGGCTGCTGCAGTTCTGAATGAGTCAAGATGAAACTGGTCTGGGAATAAAGCAACAGCAACGATCTCTTCTGCTTATCTGCACTGTTCTGAGTGACTGTTTTTGAGCAGAAACTGTTTTAAAGTGGGTGACGCTGAAAGGGGCTGTAAACTGACGGGTTCTAGTTCTTGTATTGCAGCTTGCAGCTCTAAAACACTCAAAAAAAGCTGAGGAGCAAAAATTGTCCGAGTTTCAGCAACATTTGGAGCAACTAGAGCCTATCAAAGAGAAGGTAAAGGGAATAACACAGCAGCTAAATATGAACTGGAATGCAGTAATCACTAGCCTCAGGTTACTGATGTCCAGAATAACATCAGTTTCAGAATATGAGAGGGAAGGAATAACTTCACATTGCTTCCAGCAAACCAGAACAGATCCAGTGGTAAGACCCAGCCCTCATTTTGCTGGGGTCTCAGTAATGCTGTGCCTGGTTTTGGTGTTATTTGAGCTTGAAGAGCTAATGACATAGTTGTGGACCTCCGAGGTTTTGCCTTGGTTGGATATCTTTATTTTGGTACTGTTACTTTTAGCCACATCTTTTGTAACTCTCTGTCAAAGCCCTGCTTAAAACTGCACTCAGACATTTACCCCTCACTAAAATGCTGTTCCCAGGGGTTAGCTGGGATGGTGTCTTGAAGCTGTTCTAACAGTTAGTTTCCCTTTGGCAGTATTTGGCCTTGCAGGCTGATGTGGTGATGCTGAAGGCTCACTATGAACAACGCATCCAAGACCTGGAGAGGGATCAGGATGGATCTTCACCTGCAGACTTCACAGAGGAAGTAAGCTTGACTGTCCAGTATTTCTCCTTACTAAGCAAATCTATTTAACTTGAATTATTTCTCTGAGCAGAAACAAGAAGGAAGAACTTCTTATTTTCTGCACAAAATATGACCTGTGTTTCTAGTAGTAGGGTCTATAGAGGAAGAAAGGATGTGATCTTCCTGCTGCCCACTTTGCTCTTTTTTTTTTTTTTAGGTTAAAACTTATATTTAGATTTTTAAATTGAAAGAATAGTAACTGTCAGTCTGCATTGGGTTTGTGCAATCTGCCTCAGTTTTGGAAGGAGGGGTTTGTTGTATATGTATGCATATATATAACGGCTCTGAATTAAGATGGTGTGATGTATTCTCCTTTGGTATGGGAATTTCTGACTTGAAAAGTGGATTTTTTTGAAAACCACATATTTGAATTTATTGTTCCTTCACCTGGCGAAGTATCTGATGTTGAGTCCACTGCTTCATATGTTAATCATATCTTTGTTTCCTGTCTTGCTCTTTTCCAGGTAAAGAAGATAATGAACAGTGTGTTTCAATCTCTTCGTGGTGAATTTGAGCTGGAAGAGACATACAGTGGCAGGACAGTTCTGGGTGTTGTCATGAACACTATTAAGGTACAGCCATGACGAGAGATACAAGGTGATCAATGTGAGAGAATGAGTCTTAGGCTAAAAACACAATTTTATCTTGTGAGTCTGAAGTAACGGAAGCAGAAATTTGTTGTGGGTGGCAAAGCAGCCCAGCAGTAGAAGATGATACAGGGGTCTGTGATAGTTTCTTTAGGGTATAACCTACATTCTCTCAATTTTTTAGACCGTAACACTGCAGCTACTCAACAGGCAGCAGGAGAAACCAGATCATGACAGTAAAAAGGAGGACTCTGGAACAGGAGTGGCAAGACAGGAGGGATCACGAGGAGCAAAGACTGATCACGAAGATCCCGTGCAGCATAGCCCAGCACAGAGTGTTGTGTTCCCAGCTAATCCTGGGGAAGCGACCACAGGCTCCACAGTGTCTGACCAGGGCAGCGAGTCTGCTCCTCTCTCTGCCAGGCCCAGAACTCCTGAGGAGGAGCAGGTGACACAGAGCAGTGGGGTGTCAGAAGAGGAGAAGGTCCAGGGGGAACATCCCTCTTCCACAGCTGAATCCCGCCTGGATCCTGATAAGGGGCCTGTATTTGCAGGACAGCCTGCTCCTGAGGTGGATGAGGACTCTATCCCAGCTGAGCAAAGGCAGGAGAGCAGTCCCACCAGGAAAGCTGAGCCTGAATGCAGTCCCTCCAGGGTATCTTTGCAGGCAGAAGTTGCAGAACCTTCTGTTGTGGAAGCCAAGCCAGGAGAAGCGGATGTGGCAGTGCTTCCAGAAAAGCCAGCTGTGGAGCAGAGGGCAGAGGAGCCTGTGGGGGGTTTAGAGCCCCCTCCTTTAAATGGCGAGGGAGGGAACTGCACAGACCTGTCACACGGAGCTGGCTCCCAGAAAGGACCTGCCTCAGGATCCAGCACAGCAGAGCCAAGCTCAGCTGTTATCAGAGAAACCTCAGGAGAGATGGAACTGGGCTCTAGCCCCAGGCAAAAGGGTTCCAGGTAAGGTGTCTGGGATAGCCACAGTCCCACTTCCTGCTGCTCAGCTCAGTCCACACACAGGGCTGGAGTGCTGGGGTAGGGCTGGAGCACTGGGTCTGTCCCAGTGCCAGCGCTGGGTGGCACGAGCCAGCTGCTGGCAAAGGTCAGGCTGTTGGGGTGAGTGCTCGCAGAATGGGCTTGTGAATGGGTGCAGAGTGGTGCCACTGTCTCCCAGCCGAGCACAGAGGGGAGTGTGCAGTTTCTCTAGGATCTGACATTGGTGGCTGTCAGGTCCCAGTATCGTTCTGCACTGGTGAATAGTATGTGCCTTAGAAGCTTGCCCCAGCGACAAAACTTTTCCATCATTCTTTAATATAACTTGTAAAACCAAGATCCCATCATCTGCAAGCGAACTGTTAATTCTTTATCTTCTAGCCTCTCTGAAGATGACAACTTCTTTGAAACAGCATCTCATAAACCACTGAAGCCTCGAGTTCCCTCTGAAGAGGATGATGAGGAGGAAGTGGTACGTATTTATATCTTTCCTCTCCTACTAAACTGGTTCAGGCATTAACCTGTAGCTTGTCTGTGAGATCCCTCCCATGGCAGTGGGGGACTGACAGGCTCCTGCTAGCTGAGCTTGGGTCTTCCTGTGTGTTCTCTGTATAAATCATGAGTATCTGGGTTTGTTTATTGCTGAGCTTGGAGGTACTGTGGTTTAACCCCAGCTGGCAACAAAGCCCCACCCAGCCACTTGCTCACCTCCCCCAGGTGGGATGATGGGAGAAAATGGGAAGAGTAGAAGTGAGAACTCGTGGGTTGTTTTCATGGGAAAACAGTTTAATAGGTAAAGCAAACCAAGGGATTCATTCCCCACTTTCCCTGGGCAGGCAGGGGCTCAGCCATCCGCAGGACAGCAGGGCTCTGTCATGAATAATGGTGACTTGGGAAGCCATCACTCCAAACGTCCCCCCTTCCCTCTCCTTCCCCCAGCTCTGTGCTGGGCACCATGTGATATGGTCTGGGACATCCCTGGGGTCAGCTGTCCCAGCTGTGCCCCCACCCAACTTCTTGTGCATCCCCAGCCCACTTGCTGGTGGGGTGAAGAGCAGAAAAGGCCTTGGCTCTGTGTGAGGACTCAGCAGCAGCTAAAACATCCTGTGTTACCAACATGATTCTCCTCCTCAATCCAAACCACAGCACTGCACCAGCTACTAGGAGGAAAATCAGCTGTTAGCCCAGCTGAAACAAGGACAGAGGAGATGTCTGGGCTGAGGTGGTGCTGACACACCCCTGTTGCCATGCAGGTACTGAGACTGAAAGACTAACTGAAGGGGTTTAGTGTCTTGCCCCTCTCCTTTCCCTTTTAGCCTCTAAGCATCTCTCCTGGAATGTTAAAACATATGGGAGAAATACAAAAACTTCTGTAACGAGGCTTCGTGGTATCATCTCCTTAAAGCCGGCAGAGATTTCAGATTCAGAACTGTGCAGCAATTACTGAATACTGGGGAGCTGTTAAGACTTGACACATTTCCCTCTGGTTTGACTTCCAGAGCATGAAGGGGCGTCCCCCTCCAGCTCCGCTCTTTGGCGATGATGATGATGATGATCTGGACTGGCTGGGATGAAGAGCTGCCCGGTGAGCCTGTGAGCCCTCTCCTCTGGGAATGGCCTCTCCTGGGCACTTTGCACTTAACGAGCTGCATCCGTGGGACAGTTGTGAAGAACCAGGGACTTCCCAGGCTCTCGTACTGCAGACTGATGGGGCCTGGGAGCAGGAGGCTCTTGTTGCGCCCAGACTCATTGCTCTGACCTGACAAACACATGCAGAGGTTGGGACGAGCTGAAGGAACTAACCAGTCTTACTGCATGTTTGTATTGCTGTCCTACTTCTGTGAACTGTTGATTCATTAACCCGAAACTTTATGCAAATATAAACTTTATAAAGTGCTTCAGAAGATCAAGTCTGGCAGGACCCTGCAGTAGGTAACTTTTTTTAAAAAAGCAAACTAAAATCTCATCTTCTTGCCCAGTGAAGATCTCCTTGGAGTATTTTTCTTAGTCCCCAGGGTGGCTCCCAGGGACTCTGCACCATCTCAGAGCAATGTGCAGTGGGAGGTTTGGCCGAGAGACCCCAGGCAGGTGTTTCCTGGGAGCCCCCGGCTCTGCAGAGGCCGCGTGGGGAAGCCCTGGGGCTGAGGCTGTTGGGGTGGGCACGGCAAGGCCCTGGGGCACATGTGCTGCTCACTGGCCCATGGCAAGCTGGGCAGGGACAGCCCGTGGTGCTACAGACAGTCTGGGCTCTGTTAGACCCGTGCTCCGAGCACAGATGTAGCATCTAGTCACTGCTCCTGTAAGAAGCCAAATCCCCAGCTGTGTGTTAAGGAGAAACCTCACAAGAATTACTCATTGTGCAGCCAGCTCCTCTCTGTGCTCAGAGTTCAGAGCGTTTTTGGTTTTTTGCTGGCAGTGAAGCAGCAGTACAGATGTGTAATGTGCTGCTCCTCTAGAGAAAGAGTTACTGCAGGCAGCCAAGCCCATCTCCCGTGCCTTCCTCTCTGCTGCTGTTTAAAGTGTGAGGATTGTAGCAGAAGTTTAAAACTTGTGATGGTGGGACATGAGCTCCCCTGGGCTCTGCTGAGCAGCCGGGGGTTGGGGTATAACTTCACAGTCTAAGTGGGCCAAGAGGGGAAAGCGGTGAGGGCAGACAGCTGGGCAAACACCATGGATTTCTCACAGCACTTTTGTTTCTACACTCATAAGCACTAACGCAGCTTAAAGCTATGAGCAGGTCTTTGTGTCTTTAAAACAAATAAAAATCCCTTTCACTTAATAAAATGGAAGTTGTTAAAATAACTCTACTACAGTTTGCTTTTTACGACTACCTCTTATCTCTGAACTGAATTTGACCTGTGTCCTAAATGTGATTGCGGGGGTGGGGGTCGGGAACAAAAAGCACTGGGCATTCCTCTTTGGGAGTGTAGCAGTGTGGCGGTTTGCCAAATGCAGCTGGAATTGTGGAGGAGACCAAAGCCTGTGAAATAGCCAACCTGCTGCCCTGCCCACGCTTGTCTTGCAGCGCAAACTTAGCTGGGGTTTCCCCGGGAGCCACGGCAGAAGTCAGAGCTCTGAAGAAGTGACAGTAACACTTGGATTTTCTGGGGCTTTTGTCTTGTGCTGGTCTGAGTGTGGGTACCCTGCTGTGGCCTTGGGACGCTGTCTGTGGCAGTGTCCTAGTGCAGGTTTTTGATAATACGAACAAATTCCACTTCTTGTTTCCCATTATAGATAAGACACCCTGAGGGATTTACATTTCACTTGAAAAATAAAATGCAATTGAACCTATATTTTTCGGTTGCATGGGGTTTCTTTTAGTCTGGCTTCATCTATGTACTTGAAAACTGATTTAGTTCTGACTCAGGATCAGTTGATCTAGAAACTCTGCTGGAACTCCTGGCAAAGGAGAGAAGGTCCCTTTGTGCTGGGACTGCGGCTCCTCGAGCTCTCACCTTGTGGGCAGAAGCTGAAGTACAAACGATCATCGTGATGGGGGCAGGAGTCCCTCCCCTGGTTCTCCATCAAGCTTTAGGGGGAGACCCCGGGCATCCGGGAGGCAGGAGGGCTCTGCTCTGGCAGGTACCACAACCCATCCTGCACGGCAGCCTCTAGGCCTGGAGCCCACAGCCTTTTTTTCTTAAACCGTATTTGCCTTGAGTGCAGGAGGGGTGGACGGGGAAAGCTCTGGGTTTCCTGTGGGGACAGCAGGCTTGGGGAGGGGTGGATGTGCTCGGTCCTGAAGAGGGGCAGTTGCTGTCATGGGGGCTGCGAAGGGGCTGTTTTTCCTTCTGGGTGCTGATCTGCGAGAGGGACCTGGCTGAGGATGTGCCCCAGAGGGTGTTGCTGCGGGGAGATGGGGCTCAACACCCCCTTGCCCTGCGGGGCTGGGGCAAGGAGAGGGCCCCCTTCTCCCTGCCTGGGCCCTGGTTATCACACCCAGCCCCTGCCCCGCCTGCTGAGAGCAGCGGCAGCACCTTGTTCTCGGTGCGAAACAGAAAAATATCGTGTGCACAGAAAAACAATCGGACACAGCGCTGAGCCAATGTCTGTCTTTAATGTGTCTCTGTGGGGCCATGCCCCTCCTCAGCTGCCGTGTCTCACACGAGACTCTCCTCTCGAGGGGAAGGGGCTGTTTAATTGCTTTTGAGCAGTTTCACCCACAGAAAGGCACGACGAGACCCTTCCCGTCCTCTTTCACCCCATCCTTGCTGCCTGATGAGAAGAACCGAAGCGCAATGGGGGCAGTTGCCCAGGGAGCGTGTGTGGCCCCGTGCCACGGCTCCTGCCGAGCTGCCGCTGCGGGCTCCAGGGGGGCCGGGCACTCGATGGACACAACGTGAGAACAGCCAGACCCCGGGGGGTGAAGGAAAGTGCTGCAATAAGTTAAATTTTAAATAGTCTGATGCCCTGGGGCTCGCATGTGTGGGGCAGCCAAGCGTCCTGCGGCCGCCACCTGCCTGGGCTGGATCCTGGGAGGTGCTGAGCCCCAGCCTTGGTCCTCGCTGGGGCCGCGGCGTCCGTGGCCTGAGAAGTCCCTGACCCAGCGGCGGGTCCGTCCAGGCTGCCCGGGGGTGGGACTGAGCCCCTCTCCCCCATCCAGCCCTACTTGAGGAAGACCAGCAGGAAGAAGGTGGAGACAATGAGGACAAGGATGCCGGCGGCGAAGCCGAGGCGCAGGTTCTCCATGGAGGCGAGGGGGGGCTGCGTGTCCAGCAGCAGCCCCCGACCTGGCAGCCCCACCACGAAGGCGCCCGGTGCCTCGGAGCTGCGGCGGAGGCCGCAGGGGGACACCATGCTGCTCACCGCGAAGACAGGGGCGTGGGCCGCAAGTGCCACCTCCACGGCCACGGAGTGCGCTGAGGCTTGGTGGGCGTCCGGGGTAGCACTGCTGCCTTCCTCCTCCTCCTCCTCGTTCTCATGTGGGGTCCCCAAGGCCGGCGTCGCCCCGGGACCCCCCAGAGCCAGCTCAGGCACCAGCGTCACCATCCTGCAGAAGGGGCAGCTGACGAAGGCGACGGTGGCGGCGCGACACACCAGCTTGCGCAGGCAGCTGAGGCAGAGGGAATGGCGGCAGGGCAGCTGCTGGGGGGCTCGGCCCCCCCCGGCACCCCAATACGCCTCATAGCAGATCCCGCACTCCCTGCCGGCCTCGGGCCCCACCGCCATGGCGCTCCGGGGCAGCGCAGCCCGCCCGCCGCGGCTTTTGAAGGCGGGGGGCGGGCGATGGC